TGTGTGTGTGTGTGTGTGTGTGTGGAGTGTGAGTGTGAGTGTGTGTGTGTGTGTGTGTGTGTGGTGTGTGTGTGTGGTGTGTGTGTGTGTGTGTGTTGTTTTACCATTTTGTCCTAGTGTGTGTGTGTGTGTGTGTGTGTGTCAGTGTCAGTGTCAGTGTCAGTGTGTGTGTGTGAGTGTGTGTGTACTCACCTATTTGTGGTTTCAGGGGTCGAGTCATAGCTCCTGGCCCCGCCTCTTCACTGATTGCTACTAGGTCCTTTCTCTCCCTGCTCCATGAGCTTTATCATACCTCGCCTTAAAACTATGTATGGTTCCAGCCTCCACTACTTCACTTTCTAGGCTATTCCACAGCTTGACTACTATATGACTGAAGAAATACTTCCTAACATCCCTCTGATTCATCTGAGTCTTCAACTTCCAATTGTGACCTCTTGTGTCTGTGTCCCATCTCTGGAACGTCCCGTCTTTGTCCACCTCGTCTATTCCGCGCAGTATTTTATATGTCGTTATCATGTCTCCCCTGACCCTCCTGGCCTCCAGTATCGTCAGGCCGATTTCCCTCAACCTTTCTTCGTAGGACAATCCCCGTAGCTCTGGGACTAGTCTTGTTGCAAACCTTTGCACTTTCTCTAATTTCTTGACGTGCTTGACTAGGTGTGGATTCCAAACTGGTGCTGCATACTCCAGTATGGGCCTGACGTAAATGGTATACAGAGTCTTGAACGACTCCTTACTGAGGTATCGGAACGCTATCCATAGGTTTGCCAGGCGCCCGTATGCTGCAGCAGTTATCTGATTGATGTGTGCCTCAGGAGATATGCTCGGTGTTATACTCACCCCCAGATCTTTTTCCTTGAGTGAGGTTTGCAGACTTTGGCCATCTAAACTATATTGTGTCTGCGGTCTTCTTTGCCCTTCCCCAATCTTCATGACTTTGCATTTGGCGGGGTTAAACTCAAGGAGCCAGTTGCTGGACCAGGCTTGTAGCCTGTCCAGGTCTCTTTGTAGTCCTGCCTGATCCTCATCCTCATTCATCACCTTCAAAACTACCATTAGAAAACATCTTATCTCCCTGATACACCCCATCAACTAACTACACGAATACCACCTGTGTGTTCACACTTACACTCACTCACCCATTTGACCATAAACAGAAATATTAATCTCAATCTTAAAATAATGAATCCTATGATACTCCAATACTGAAACTATGTACTGTGCCAAAACAAAAGCATTCACATTGCTAAACTCACAAACTAGTATTTAGTCACTTAGCCATAATACCAACTTACCTCATAATTTGTAATATTTTAAAATAAAGAATTAAACTAAGTCTGCCCGAAATGCCTAGCCATGCTAGGCGTTCTAGTGGTACACTCTGTAATCATTATTTAACTACATGTAAACCACACAACAACCAAATTCTGCAAATTCAACATTGTAATCTTTATAGAGAATAAACTTTGAATTCTCATTAACTTCACATCGTCCGCAAACAAGGACACTTCTGAGTCTATCCCTTCCGTTATGTCATTCACATATACCAAGAACAGCACAGGTCCTAGGACTGACCCCTGTGGAACTCCGCTTGTCACAGGCGCCCACTTTGACACCTCGTCACGTACCATGACTCGTTGTTGCCTCCCTGTAAGGTATTCTCTTACCCATTGCAGTGCCTTTCCTGTTATGTGTGCCTGATCCTCTAGCTTTTGCAGTAACCTCTTGTGAGGAACTGTGTCGAAGGCCTTCTTGCAGTCCAAAAAAATGCAGTCGATCCACCCCTCTCTCACTTGTCTTACTTCTGTCACCTTGTCATAAAACTCTAATAGGTTTGTGACACAGGATTTTCCCCCCCTGAAACCATGCTGTTTGTAAATTAAACACTTGTTTTTTCCATGCCCCACTACTTCCCTCCTGATGACTTCCCCATGCCCTTCCCATACTATACACGTTATGATACAGGTCTGTGTTAGTGCCCATGTCTGTCCCCTTTTTTAAAATTGGGGAAACCATTTCCCTTTTCCCCATACCTGGGGATTCCCATTTCAAATGATGTTTAAGATCTTTGTTAATGGTACCACAATGTCTTGTCCCTTTTTAAGGACCCCGGGGGAATGTTGTCTGGTCCCCCCCTTTTTGAGGTGAAATTGCATACAGCTTTTCCCCTCCCCCTTTGGTTATATTACCTCATCCAGCACTTGCGGGTGCACCCCCCTGCTCTGTTTTCCCCTGGCCTACGGGTTTTCCCACTGTAAATACTCTTTTAAAATCTCATGTTGAGCTCCTAATACCCCAGGTCGTTTCTTGTAAATTTCCCCCATCACCCCTTCCCCTCATCTGATTACCGGGTCCTTGACTGTGTTTTCCCCCTGTGGGGCTGTACAACAGTTGGGGTCGTCTTGACTTTCGAGCTATGTCTTTTTCGTTTTGCCGCTGAGCCTCCTTTTTATTTTGGGCATATTTCTTTTTCTGGTTCATCGGCTAATCTTTTTTATTTTCCTGAGTTCTCTGTCTTCTGTACCTTTTCCTTCCTTGTACATCTATTTTTTTGCCCCCCCACACCTTTGGGTGAACCAAGGACTCGTTTGTTCTTCCCTTATTTCTGTTTCCCTTGGGGAACAAACCCCCCTCTGCCTCCTTGCTTTTTGTTGCCCCAAGTCCATCATTTCTTGTACTGGTTTTCCTGTCAGTTCCCCCTCCCCACGAAAGTCGAAAGAAGTTCCTCAAACCTGAGTAGTTTCCCCCTTTTGTATTTGGTTTTTCCCCTCATTCCTCTGCTCCTCCACTTGGGGCTCAAAATATGTATCGAAGCACAGAACCCCCCATGATCACTAGTCCAGGGGCCTTTAACATATATCCTCGATGTCAGAACTATCAAGTAATACAAGGTCCAGTCTTGCTGGGTTCATCCCCTCCCTCTCCTGGTTTGTGTCTCTAACTGTTGATGCTTTAGGTTTTTCCAGTACCACATCCATCATCTTGGTCTCCTGTTTCGGGACCCCCCCCTGGGGGTCCAGGTTTTTTTCCCCGTCAAACTCCTTGTGATTGAAATCACCCCTAACAGTAACTTTGCCCCCCCTGTGTCTCTCCTGGGCCCCCTCGGGTAGTGTGTCGCCCTTGCTCTGTTGCTTCATCGTATTTTTTTCTTGCCTCCGCTCGTGGTGGGTTGTACATTACGCAATTACACCTTATGTCCCCCCAGACGGATTGTTCCTACTAAGTAGTCCCTTTCGCCCGTGCCATCCATTCCTTCCATTTTATCAAAACCCCACTGGTTTTTAATGAGCAGTGCAACTCCTCCTCCCCCTCTCCTCCCTCTGTCTTTCCTGAGGATTTGATATCCGGATGGAAAGATTGAATCTGTTATTATTCTGGTGAGTTTTGTTTCTGTGAGTGCTATTATGTCTGGGGATGTCTCCTTGATTCTTTCGTGCCACTCCTCATACTTATTTGTTATTCCATCTGCATTTGTATACCACACCTTCAACTTCTTTTCTAAGATTGTGGTCTGGGAGGTGTATTGGGGTTGGGGAAGTGGGAGACCTGATAAGGATCTATGGGTGGTTCATTACCTTTGTAAATTGTGAGTTCATTACCTCTGTAACTTGCTGAGCTATCAAAACTTTGGAGTCCAGTCCCTGGACCAATTATGTACCTCTGTAATCTTTTGACTACCGCCCACAGGATGGGTATGGGGTGCATAATAAACATATTAAACTAACTAACCCCCTAGTGGTATGATTGCTTTGATTCCCAGCCTTGACAAAATTGGTAGCAAGATATTCTGGACACTGAGCAATTTTATAAACGTGATTTAGTTTCAGTTGTTTTACTCTGTCTTCAACATTCAGCATATCCAATTGCTGTAATTCATCCTGGCCTACATACTCTCTTGGACCCAGGTCCAGGATGAATCTTACCATTTTGTTCTGGGTGATTTGCAGTCTTTCAGTTTTTTTTTTTTTTGTCAAGGCAGAGTACCATGAAGAGCAAGCGTCGTCGATATGACATTGTATAAGGGCTAGACATAGGGTCCTGCGAGCCTCAGTAGGTAGACACTGCTTGTCTGTAGAGGAATTTCAGTTTGGCATTCGCTTTCTTTACTACGCTGTTCCCTATCAATTCTCCTGACATGCATAGGTCAATGGGGATTCCCAGATATTTTACTGAGGAAACTGAAGTGATGGGCTCCCCATTACACTGGGCATTAAAATTATTTACCCTTCTCAGTTTATGTTTCGTGCCAAAGAGAAGGGCTTCAGTTTTCCCGAGGTGTAATGATAGTTTGTTGTCTACTGACCATTTGCTGCAGGACTCCAGTTCCAGTGTTAACACATTAGCTATATCTTGTGGGTCTTCACCTGACACTAACAGAGCACTGTCGTCTGTATACAGTAGGAGTTTGCACTTAACACTGATAGACATGTCGTTAACATAGCATAGGAATAATAGGGACCCAGAATATTACCTTGGGGAACTCCACATGCTATCGGCAGGGGTTCTGATTCCGTTTTGTTGATTTTGACAATTTGTCTCCTGTTGCAAAGGTAGGACTTCAACTAGTCTACAGAACCTATACCGAGAGCTTGAAGTTTCTTACATAATATATTGTGGTTGACAGTATCGAAGGCCTTTTGCAGGTCTAAGGTTACCATACCTATGAGGTTCACCATTGACATTTCAGTTCTCAAGTAATTCATCAGATTAATTAGGGAGATGTCATAAGGGATTTAGGTGAGCCTAGCTAGATGCAGGTGTATGAATAAGCATATTTAAGAGATGTAGGTGGGGAAACAAGTATAGTAAAGAGATGTAGATGGCAGAGCAGGCATGATTAAGAAATGTAGGTGGACGAACGAGCATAGTAAAGAGACGTAGGTGGCTGAAGAGACACAATAAGAAATCTAGGTGGGTGAAAAAGGATGATTAAGGGCTGTAGGAATGTGAACAAGCAATGTTAACAAATATAGGAAACTGAGTAGTGATGGAGAGGTTACTGGAAGAAGGAAGGCAGAGCACCACCGTAGCGTGAGGCGGAGGTAGCGGCAGCAGCAGCAGCCGGCGGTGTAGTGGCTGCCACCACCAACACCAGCTGCTGCCGGGGAAGCGCTACTACCATTAGCTGCTAGGGACTACCTCCACTATCAGCTTCTGGGGACCACTATCAGCTGCTGGGGACCACCATCACCAGCCACACACCGCTGCTCACACTTTTATCATGACCTCCATCAACAGTAATGGCAACGGCAATGCCCTCAAGTTATACTATTGGTACACTTCCTTCTACTCTCAGAGGGTGAGTGTTTGTATCTTAGGTTGTAGATGCTACAGGTAGTGATAAGCCTGACATCTGTTTGCCTACCACTAACTACAGACTTTCATGAGTATCTGTGGGTCGTATAATGTGTTCAGGTTCACATACTGAGGAAGGACCTACAACCAACATCAGTGGAAATCAGCCACTGCTTAGCTCTCCTAGTTTAGCAAGTCATTATTTATGTAGTAGGTACATAATATAGGATTATTAACCTTCCAGGATTAATAATTTGAATAAAGCTATTCCTCTGGGTTCCTTAATCGGGACATTGCCAGCCCAAATATATAAATCAGGTGTACAGTACTTAATGAAGCTGCAGAGAGGGAAAAATGTCAAGTATCATTAGTTATACAGTACCAAAAAGTTGATTAATGAAAGGTATGCAACACCTGCGTATTTTTATTGCAACACCGTATGTCTTATTGAAAATGTTTGATTTTAACTGCACTAATAATATTCAATGTTTTCAGTCAGTACAGAGGTTGCTAATTTTTACCACTGAATATATCATTGCTTAGTTAATCTTAAGTTAATTTTAAGCCTGCCCATAATGCTCTGTATACAAAGGGCTTTTGTATACATGTCCAAATAAAAATAAATATATAGGTAATTGAATCATATTTCAAGATTAATAAATACAAATTGCAATGATTGTAGATTTACAAAAGTGGCATCATATGATGACACCCTGACAGACATGAGGTAAACACAGTATGTACTCACCTATATGTGGTTATAGGGGGGTCAAGTCACAGCTCCTGGCTTACTGATATTGCAGGCACATGCTTTAGTGTCAGTATTGAGGATGCTCACTCTGTGATGTCAGTGCAAACACACCATTGGCAAATTATTAGATTCAGTAATAGCTGATAGGAAAACAGTACTTTAACAATTTAGTTGTATGAGTAGGAATGATTTGGTGAGAATAGGACCTGCTAGCATGGGCCAGTAAGCATACTGCAGTGCAGTTTTGTTCTTATGTAAGCAAGCACTAGTTTACCAATGGAACGATCAATAAATGGGAATGACCTTGAAAAGTAGGGTCTACCAAATCCTAGTCAGTATGCCTACTGCAGTTCTATTCTTCTTTGATTAAAAGACCATCTTTGTTTTTTATAAAAAAATTATTGCTGCTCACTGAACTTAGATATAATGATTTCAACACAATATCAACTCAGTTGGAGACGAGTTATTTTACTTTTTTGTCTTTTCCTATATACTTGGGAAAGATTGTAAAACAAGCAAGTTGAGAAAAGACACTGGCAGAATGGGAATATTTGTTTTTGAGACTGTTTTACTTTGAGATCAACCTTTCCAAAGTCTATAACCTTATTATGTTAAATTTCATAAGTGGAAACAGATTTGGAGACTTTTTTTTCTCTCACAGCAACATAATACCAACACCTAGTACAGCAGATTTTCTTCTCGAAGATTATGCTGTCCCTCAGAAACTACGGTAAACTTATGCATAAGATTTTTGAAAAATAGGGATTTTTGGCAAAGTCAGAGATCAACTTGTACATGAAGACAGGCTGTACTTGGGTATATACAGCTAAAGAACAAAAGGGCACAATACTGTGACTGAAAATACAGAAATAACCCACACATAGGAAAGAGTAGGAGCTTATCACAATGTTTCGGTCCGACTTGAACCATTTACAAAGTCACGCTTTTTAATACGGCTAAATATGGTTTAATTTGGCATTATACAGGCTTGATTCTATATACACTATAGTGATAATAAATTATATTATTTTTTCTCTTGGCTGTTCTGATTCATGTCAGGTATCCCCCCAAAATTTATGAATTCTTTTTTATCTTGGGCATTATGTAATAGCCTATATTGTAGTTGCTCTTACAGGTCCTGATGGCTCTATATGAGAAACGTGTACCTTTCAAAACACAAATTGTGTCATTGTTGGCAGAGGAGCAATATGAGCCAAAGTTTTTAAAACTGAACCCACGTGCTGAAGTTCCAGTACTCACAGATGGAGTAAAGGTTATCCCTGACTCTACTCGCATTATAGAATACCTAGAAGACAATTTTTCTAATGGTAAGTTCAAGTTCATCTTTATTTCAAAATTACCGTTCATAAAAAAACGTACAGTAATCTGAAGGCCCACAGAATTTGCGTAATTTTTGACAAAATTTAATCTTCAAATTTACGTAGTATTTTTTTAACCCTTTGACTGTTTATGCCGTATAAATACGTCTTACTCGCCACTGTTTCTGACGTATATATACTCAGTAATCCTAGCGGCTTAAAATAATGCGGAAGAAAGCTGGTAGGCCCACATGTGAGAGAATGGGTCTGTGTGGTCAGTGTGCACTACATAAAAAAAATTCTGCAACACACAGTGCGTAATGAGAAAAAAAACTGATAATTTTTTTGGATTAAAACTCCGAATTTGAGGTGTATTTTCATATAGTATTTATCGATGTATTTGCGTTTTCATGGTCTTAGGTGATAAAATGGAAAACATATTACAGAAATAGAGATGATTTTCATTACTTTAATGATGAAAACGACCTTGAAACTGAGCTCAAAGTAGCGGAAATGTTCGATTTTTACCAATGTTCAGGAGTAAACAAATCACACCACACGTCCAATACACGTCAACTGGGGAGTCTAATATTCTTTCACTAGTGCACTGATATTACTTATACCATTTTTACAATAATGCAGTAGTCTGCATAACAGTAAATTTTGTATTTTTTTGTATGAATAAAAAATCAAAATAGAAAGCAATAATAATATAAGAGGGGCCTAGAGATGTGACTAATGAACAGAGGATATGTTATTTTGGTGCCAAGAATGTCTACCTTGTTTATTCTGGACCCTGTTTTGAAATTGGCATCTTTTTTAGTTTGAAATTGGCCAAATTGCCAATTTCTGACCACCATATTGGGTAGTCCAAATTGGTAATTGGGAGGTTTCTTGTACTCAGCTGATAGATAAAATGGAGTACTAAAGAAATAGCTATGAGTTTGGTCAACTGGAACAACGGAATTGGCTGAAAATAGGGCTCAAAGTCGGCGAAATCGCCGATACTCATGTCGCCGAGACCGCTAACTTCGCAGGAGCATAATTCCACGAGTTTTCGACCAAATTTCGAACTTTTGGTGTCATTACCATCGGGAAAAGATTCTCTATCATTTCATAAGAATTTTTTTTTTTTTTTTTTTTTTTTTCAAAAATTTATCGACATAGAATGAGTTTCAGAAAGGGGCCTGAAACAGTCAAAGGGTTAAGAGGTCTAATACATGGTAATACAGTAATAAGAAGTTGCCCAGAATAATTCATAATTTTAAATAAAAAATTTGTAATTGTCTGGTTATTGAAGGTTGAATGGTACTGGTCAATGAAATTACAATGCAAAAGCAGCGTAATTCAGTAAAAGTTGTCTGGTTCAAGTCTGCGAAATTACAAAACAATGTAATGAAATATGAATGGAATTCTATCAGTGTAGCAGAATTATGGCCATATTGATATACAGTGGAACCTCGGTATGCGACCTTAATTCATTCCAGAAGACTGTTCGAGCGCCGCTCTGAGTATTGAACAAGTTCTTCCCATCCAATTTTCTGTTTTGTTGGCTCTTATCACTAATTGTCATAGGCCCCATGGTGACTTATTTATACAAATAATACAAAAAAAAAAAATGCAAAGAAACAATTGTTTACAGCGAAGTTCTGGTGGGTCGTATTTGTTTGGTCGAGTGCTGAGCTTTGTTTGAGTAGGGTGCTGGTCATACAGTGGGCCCTCGGTTTTTGTGTTTAATCCGTTCCAGAGCAATTGGCGAAAGCGTAAATCGTAATGTAAATTCAGTTAATCCGTTCCAGACACTCAGAAGTATTAAGAAAAGTTTTTTTTTTTTTTACCTTAAGGATAGATTTACATGCGCAAAAGAATGAACATTCAACATGACATTTACCTTTATTGATGGCTGTTGTTGATGGATGGAAGACAGGGAGGAGAGGAGAGGGAAGAGGTTATTCTTTGGAAGGGGAATCCCCCTCCATAAGAACACTAGGTACTAAGTCCTTATCAGGGGTCACTTCCCTCCTTTGTTTTTTAACACCACGCTTGAGAGTCACTGGACCCCTATCGCACAAAATATCTGTCTAGAGAGGTCTGTTTCTTTAAGATTTGCCTCAAATGGGACATGGCATTGTCGTTGTAAAAGTTGCCAGCATGGATTGCAACAGCTTTCTCAGGGTGATGTTCCTCCACAAATGAATGCATTTTAGTACACATTGCACAAATCTCCTTAATCTTGGAAGAAGGCACCTTCTTCCATCTCTCTTCCTCCTCCTCTGAAGCAATTTCCTGAGTTGTGGTCTGTTGCTGTTGCAGATGAAGCTCTTTCTGCTCATCAGTGGTTAGCTCTTCATTGTGGTCCTCCACCAACTCTTCTACATCTTAGCCACTCACATCCAACCCCCATGGAATTCCCCAATGCCACAATTAATTGCACAACAGGTGTAGGGTCGACAGGGTCAGCCTCAAACCCTTCAAAATCCTTCTTTTGGACACGATCTGGCCACAATTTTCCCCAAATAGAGTTCATCATCCTGGAAGTCACTCCCTGCCAAGCCTTATCTATAAGGCTTATGCAATGGAAGATAATGAAGTGATTCTTCCAGAATTCTCTTAGGGTCAATTCAGAGTCCGAGGTTATGTCAAAACACCTTTGAAATGTTGCTTTGGTGTACAGTTTTTTGAAGTTTGCAATGATCTACTGGTTCATGGGCTGGATGAGTAGAGTAGTGTTAGGAGGCAAGAACTTCACCATTACAAAACTGAATTCCTTAGACAATTGGTCTTCCTAGTCTGGAGAACGAGCAGGAGCATTGTCCATTAACAGGAGGCACTTGAGTGGCAATTTATTATCCAGGAGGTATTTCTGCACACTCGGGCCAAATACTTCATTGAACCATTCCAGGAACATTTCCCTAGTGACCCATGCCCTACTGTTAGCCTTCCACATCACACACAATTTGCTCTTGACAACACTTTTTCTTGAACACACTGGGATTTTCAGAGTGATACATGAGTAAAGGCTTCACCTTGAAATCCCCACTAGCATTACCACACAACAAGAGAGTTAGCCTGTCTTTCATAGGCTTGTGTCCTGGGAGTGCCTTTTCCTCCTGTGTGATGTAGGTCCTATTTGGCATTTTCTTCCAAACCAGGCCGGTTTCGTCATAACTGAACACTTGTTGGGGTTGGAATTTTTCAGCCTCTACATAACCTTTGAATTACTGCATGAATTTTTCAGCTGCTTGATTATCAGAACTGGCACCCTCATCATACCTTACAACACTGTATGCCACTTCGCTTCTTGAATTTTTCAAACTAGGTTTTGCTGGTCTTAAATTCACCAACATCAGCACTCATTTCAGGCAGTTTCTTTATGAGATCGCCATGCAGCTGCCTTGCCTTTTCACAAATTATTAACTGCACAACACTATCTCTTGCTAACTCTTTCTCTCTGATCCACATCAACAATTTCTCCACTTCTTCACTTGTTTGGGATCTCTGTTTGGTTATCGCATTCACCCCTTTCACAACATCAGCTTCCATGATTTCTTTTCTCTTTGCCACAATGGAGTTGATCGTTGATGGTGCCTTCCCGTACATCCTGCCGAGTTCAGCAATGCCACTATCATATTTTTAAACGATTTCTTTATTCATTTCTACGGTATTCCTCACCTTCTTAACCAAAGGACTGACACTAGGAGCTTTCTTTGGGGCCATGGTGGCTTATATAGCAATTACACACAATAAACAAGTGCCAAAAATAATGGATTATTACGAAATGTTTCATATAACCTGGCAGGATATGTTCACTCACCGAGAAACAACGCAACACTGCCTGAGAATGCGTGTGGGAGGCGGCTTTGTCTGCGCACTGGGGACTGGACAGGTTCCGTACGATCAATGAAAACGGAAGAAATTGACGAAAACGGAACCAAAATACTGATGAAAAAAGTCGACAAAAACGGAAATCGGTGATAACGCAGATCGACGAAAAGGGAGGGTCCGCTGTACAGTAATTCTCTCCTAATGAAGGATCTACACTCATTGTGAAGTTGTAACTTTTTTTGTGTAGAAAATTGCATAGAATCCTTGGCCTTTTCTTATTGAGAGCTTGTTCATTGTATATTGTTCAGTAAATATTAATGATTATTATTCATTACAGATGTTAAATTTATTATATGCTGATTGATGATCATGTATAGTATTGTAAGTAGCTGTATCCAATCTAATTATATCAACAGAATTTGGCTCCTACTTTACCAAAGTCTGACCCAGGAGAATAGAAAAATAATGTCGTATTAACAGAATCAAGATTTTGAAGGTGCTGTGTTGTGGCTCTATATGCCGTGTTGTCAGATACGATTGAAGGGTGGGAATGGAAACTGGTGAAATTTGTGTTTCTGCTGCCCAAGTGTCATATACATTAGGAGAGGGGAGGGAACGGTAGAGGAGGCATTCTTGTTGCTGTTGCCTGTGCTGTGGAATCAAACATAGTTGGAGAGGGGGAGGGGAAGAGAAGAGAGAAGGACTTGCTTGAAATTATGGTAGATACTGAATATGGTTCAGGGGCACATCTCTGATTATAACCTGGGTGTTTCAGAAAACAGGTATACTGTACTGAGTTCTGAATGCTCTACCTATATAAAAAATAATTAATCAATTAACATAGTTTGGACATTCAGAGAGGATGGAGCAAAATAGGATGACTTGGAGGGTGTATAAATCTGTAGTGGAAGGAAGGTGGGGTAAGGGTTGCCTTAGGAAAAGTTGGAGAGTGGAGGGATAAAGGAGGTTTTGTATGTCGGGCTTGGACATTCAGCAGGCAAGTGTGAGCGTGTTAGATAGGAGTGAGTGGAGGCGAGTGGTTTTATGACTTGACATGCTGTTGGAGTGTTAGCAAAGTAACTTATAAAGGGATTCAGGGAAACCTGTTAGCCAAACTTGAGTCCTGGAGGTGGGGAGTGCAGTGCCTGCACTCTGAAGGAGAGGTGGGGATATTTGCAGTTTTG